TCCTGCAGAGCCAGGCCCTTCAGTGTCTTCAGCTCCATGATTTCTGATGGCAGGAAGTGAAGGGGCTTCTCACGCATCCCTGCACCACCCAACACCCCAACGGGGAGTGGAACCCTTCCCACAGCGCAGCACGAACCCACCCTGCCCCTGCCACAGGAGGAGGCAAAGAGGACTTAACCCCAATGGGGCTCAAACCCAAAGCAGAGGAGCAAAGGATACTGCGGTAGGCGGTGGAGAAGTTCTGGTTGAGCATCCAGTCGAGGATGTTGGCGATGTCAGCCTTGAGGGGGTGTCCTGTGCAGGTGTAGACGTTCTCCTCCGTCACTTTCCCAAAGGCCATGGAGGTGCTCTGAGGAAGAGGAGGAGGGAGGAAGAGCTCTCTGCCCGTGGGCCAACTGTGGGGCCTGAGGTGGCAAAGCGGTACCTGCAGGATGTTGAGGGCTCTGCGCATGTCACCGCTCGAGAGGGTCACCAGCGCCTTCATCCCATCCTCACTCACGTCCACCCTGGGGTGGGAGACGGGGCTGCAGCGCCTGGCCCTGGGGGGGAGCAGGGCACGGCAGGGCCCCCCATCTCACCCCTCCTCCTGGATGACGTGCTGCAGCCGGGGCACCATCAGCTCTGGGGTGAGGGGCCCGAAGCGGAAGCGGGTGCAGCGGGACTGCAGGGCAGGGATGATCTTGGAGAGGTAGTTGCAGATGAGGCAGAAGCGGGTGTTCTCGGTGAACTTCTCGATCACTGCATAAGAGCAGGGGAGAGAGGCTGGAGCCCGTGACTGCAGCCCTGTGTGATGAGGGGAAACCGGGAGTGCCACCCCTCACCCCTGACCTCGTCGCAGAGCATTCTGTGCGTCCTGTGTCATGGCATCAGCTTCATCCAGGATGACGAGCTTGAAGCCTTTCCTGGGACAGAGCGAGATGAGGGGGCTTTGCTGCCAGCTGCCTCTCGGAGGCTGCAGGGCTGGGGGTTAATGGCACATGGAGATGCTTCTTCCCAGTGTGGAAGTACTCTGTGCACACTTTTCCCCTTTGGGCCAGCATCCCTGCTGCCCCGCTATCCCCGTACTGCTGTCCTCATCTGCTTGTCCTTATCCCTTCCTCCTGCATCCTGCTCCTCCCCTCCCACCTCGGTGCCCCCCACCCACTTGAAGATGGTCCTGGTGCTGGCAAAGCTCAGGATGGGCCCTCGAACGATGTCGATGCCACGGTCATCCGATGCATTCAGCTGCGGGGATGGAGGCGGTGGTGGGGGCGTGGGGTTCCAAAGCTGAGCGCCCCCCCCATCCCCAGGACCCCCCTCGTACCTCCAGCACCATGGAGCTGAACTCCCGCTCGCGGTAGAGCTGCCGTGCACAAGCCAGGATGGTGGAGGTCTTCCCGGTGCCGGGGGGGCCATAGAGCAGGAGGTGGGGCAGCCTGTCCTCACTGATGAACCGCTGGACTGGGAGGAGGGGGGGACGCGGGGACTTTGGGGGCCTTATGGGGCTCACGGGGGATTGGAGGACACAAGGACACGGCTGGGGGTAGGGTGCCTTGGGAAGGGAAGGGGGGAGGTTGTGGAGGTATAGGAGCATAGGGGATTGGAGGGTGCACAGTGGCTTGGGAGGGACACAGAGGCTTGGGGAGGGCAATGGGGGGGGCAATGGGGGGGGCA